TCAAAGGGTTCACACTGAAACATCTGGGTTTTTTTCAGCTGCACAAACAAGGCTGTTCTGCATTGAGCTTCCTCTAAAGGCTATCTCAGCAGAGAAGAGTTCCCACTTTATTTCCTGGACAGTCCCTTGTTTCACAGTGTAAGCGTTCGATAAATCAGACTGCAAGCGCTAAGCTATTCCAGCTGTCTACAAGGAAACGGTCAGCTACCAAATTAATTTCTGCAAAATCATTCTTCTGTTCAGAAAAGGGACCTTACAGAACATCTACAGGCCCCAGTTCCCAGCAGCACAACCGCTCTGTATTTCCTTACTGCAAACCCTCCCGGGGAAAAGCTGAGGTCCCAGTACGGAGCCTATACCAGTTGGTGAAATTTCCCGAACGTACCTTGGTCTGCACTATGGAAGGCCTTTGCGTGCGCATTTCCTGGATCAGACTGAAAATACTGAAGTTCACTGGAACAATCTTGCAAGAAAGAGAAAAGACAAAAAATTACAGACAGGTCTAATTCCAAGTCGTGATGCAGTTTAGAGGAGTGTCCAAAATTCAGGCTTGCTACTGCAAGAATTTTTAACAAAGGACCTGCTTAAAGTGCTGGTTTTTATTATGAACCAGCTTGCCTCCTCCCTCCTGTCTTGCACGCCACAGAAAATACCCTTTCTATAACAGCATTGGTAACAGCTGTGAATAGCTTGAAGGGCAAGACACCGATTTCCCACATCAGTGGATCCTGGGTTGCTGCGGTACAGAAAGCAGCCACTCCTCAGAGTTCCAGCAACCTGCTGTAAGGCCAGGGATTACTTCACCATTAAAGCATACATTTTTATTGAAGAGCCAGAGTAAAGCAAAGTGCTAGTTAGGACCCTGGATTTCTGATGCGTAAGAGCGGAGAGGCAAGTATAGACAGTAAACTCGTATTGAAGACTGAAGGCCAGCACAGAGCCAAGATCCCTGATCTGAAGATCCTGCCAGAGGGAGCAACGGGAGGGAGGATTCTGCCCCATCGGTACAAGCACCGGGGGCTGTTCGCATCGGGATGGGAAGGGGAGCAATGGCAACTGACAGTGCATGGATGATGCAGAGCCTAAGGAGAGAGAAGCAGCAGAAACTGGGAATGGGGTATCAGCAGCTTGGGTGCTGCCATTCTCCAGTCAGGCTGCAGGGAGTTCCCAGTCATGGCTGTCATCTGAAGTACATCTGCATGCAGTCGGGGGGGGTGAAAGGGAGAACAGGAGAGAGAAGGCAAGGCGGAGAGAGAGATGCAGCGGTGCTGCACGCAGGTGCCATTCGAAGATGCAGCGCGGGCCGACACTCACTCCGTCCTTCAGCAGCTTCTGGGTGTAGTCGATTGCACAGATCACTCCTGTTCTCCCGCAGCCCGCACTGCAACGACAGTCACAGCAGGGTTGCTAGCAGAGGTCAGAGCACGGGCACGCTGTATTTTCTGACAAGGACATTTGAAAAAGACCCGCAGCCTCCCGAGACCCTCCCCGTCCCACATCGCGGAGGGTGCAGACCCACCCCATGGCCCTGCTGCTCCTGCTGCAGCTTCACCCTGCTCCGCTGCGGGCCGGCAGGCATATCCCGTGCTCCTGCGAACGGTTCTCAGTCCTCCTGTGGTGACCAGCCCACGGGCGGACATGCCCGGTGTTGGTGGTCTCTTAGCTACACGTGCTGTCGCTGGCCAGCTGCTGCCTCCTTTCCTGCCACCCGGCCGT